CCTATCCCCTGTGTGCCTTGCCTCCCACGACTATATATTGCTTTGTTTTCTTTTAATTTTACGTGGCCCGGCTTGTTGAGAAACCTATTTTCTACCTCCCTTCTATTAGTGGCTAAATTTCTTGCCACTTCATTTTACCATTTTCTCCTCATTAGCAAAAGTATAACTAGTTTGTTTTGTTGTAAAACGTGATTCATCGTTTGCCTAAAGTTCACATGATCTTTTTGAAAGAAACAGCATAGACTTTCAATAGTGAATTGCTTTTGGTTATTATGAAGGGAAATGATCACAGAGAACACCTACTTTTGCATTAATATCATGGAATCTCGCCGCTTTTGAATTTGTTTCAATGGCATAAAAGCCCTATTGAAAATAGTATCCTCCCCTTGCTTTCCTATTGACCCTCTTCCACTTATTTTATTCCTCAAAAATGCGATAAACATATTCCCTTTACTCTTTTTAGGTCTTCTATTCTCCTATCCCAAGAGGTTAACCTTTCACCCCCAAACCCTAGAAGATATTCGGCAAATGAAAGGCAATTCACAACCCCAAACCCAAATACGTTCACATTGCTTATACTCATAGGTATTCTCTCCGGTTAAAATCAAAGTAGCTATGGCAAACAGCGACAAGTTTCCCACGCTACTCAATTTTAACAGGAAAATATCACTTGAATATTCTAGCCAACTCACAAACTTATTTAAGGAGTAAACTTATTTTGTACTAGTTTTATGGATTGTGAAAAAAAAGTATAATTTGCCCCTATTCAAGATTGGCAACTTTGAATAAGTTGGAGCATTTCCATAATTTTACTTAAGTGGCTAGAGTTCAAATAGGGCAGGCAATGAGCCGGACCTGGGCCAAGCCAGCCCTGGCCCTAGCCGTAGCCTAGCCCTATTAAGGTTGGGCTTAGCCAAACAAAACCGAAGAAAAATAAAAGAAAAGAAAAAAAGGGTCAGGACAGGCCGAACCGGGCTGGCCTTTGCCCAAGCTTGGCCCGACTCTACCCTCTGGCCGTGGTTGCCCAGCCCTCGGGCCACATGATGTGGCCCAAATCCTAGTGTTTTAGGGCCAGGCTGGTCAGGCCGGGCCGGGTGGGCCATTGCCACTCCTAACCTGAGCGATGATAATACCTTCATCGTCCAACGTTAACAACATGAAATTGTCAAATTATAATAATACCCATGACTAATCTAGGGTAGCAACATGAAACTCTTTTTTTTATTTATTATAAACCCTTTTTCCATATTGCGAAGCCTCAACACCCATGATTATTATTGTCATTTGACATGTGAAATTACTAAAATACAATTGGTTATTTAAGGTTTTTATTTGAAGGGAAATTTGATAAATTTAAACATATTTTTAGGAAAATTAACATAAATATCTCTTGTTTTGCTTGGATTAAAAAAGTCCCCCATATTTTCAATTTTACGCTTATGTTCCTTTTTAATTTATTTATTTCTTCCAAGGTGCCCTCGGTTTAGAACTCCAAATTTCAAACCAAGGTATTTCTTTTTCTTGGTTTCATTTTCCAATTGGAACTTCAATTTCTGAACCACAAACCCATTTGGAACTGGAACTTTCGAACATGGTCACTGATATTTTCTTGGTGATAGTTTGGTTTAGAACCTGAAGTTCCAAATCCGAGTAAAAGTTCAGTTGGGAACATGTAGTTCTGAACCGAGTAAGAGAGCAATTTGAAACCCATCTAAAATCACATTGACTCCCCTTTAAAGGCGGGAGTGCAATGTGCTGCCCTAAGTGCGCATTATAGATTTAAGGGAAATTTATCAAAATATTCATTAGAGATGAAGTATTTAACATTTTATATATATATATGGAACTATTTAATCTCAAAACTATGTGTTTTTCTATGGGTTTTTTGAAAATAAATAAAAAATATGTCTAAAGTGTTAAAGAATTCATCACTCATGGGAATTCGAAAAAGGGTGCAGTTTGTAAAGAGCCTAAACTCTAAACAATAAAAGCCTACCTTCAAATAGTGTTGAGAGAAATCTTTGTGATAGCCTTAAAATATATTTTAATCTTTATTTATAAAGTTTAAAGCTTCAAAACTTGAAAACTTGAAAATCTTGAAAATTGACTGTCCAATAATGCATTACAAAATATATTATTTTCAAAACTTGAAATCCATTTTTTCTCATGTACATGCATCTTGATGTCGAGATGATCAATTTGAGGATATTTGGACATCAAAACAACCTCTTCTAATGAAATTTTTGTGATAAGCTCCAATTTGATTGTTTAGAGCCTTGACTCTAAATAAATTTATCCCTTTGAAAAATTTCCTTAAACTTAATCTTTCTAATAAATGACTTATTTGCATTCAAATTGAAAATTTTCAAAAGAATAATTTGGGTTGTAAAGTGGATTCAAAAAATTCATTATGGGGAAAAACAAAAAACATAAAACTTTTATAAAGCAATATGAACCTAAATTTGAACATAGGGAAAAGTTTATATAGAACGGAGGCTCTAAACAAACAAATTAGAGCATACCTCAAAAATTTCATTAGAAGATGTTGTTTTGATACCCAAATATCCTTAAATTGATAATCTCAACATCAAGTTGCATTGAATAAGAAAAAATAGATTTCAAGTTTTGAAAATAGTGCATTTTGTAACACATTTTTCGACCATCAATTTCAAGACTGTTATAGATATCTCGATCTACACTATTTTTGAAGCTTTAAACTTTATAAATAAAGATAAAAATATATTTTAAAGCTATCAAAAATATTTGCAGTATTGAAACCACATTTCTCAACACTATTTGAAGGTAGGTTCCAATTTGATTGTTTAGAGCCTAGGCTCTATACAAACTACACCCTTGAACATATGTGGGATATTTATTTAATATTACAAAAAAATGATATTTATGTTAACGTCCCAAAAATTTAAGAGTTGAGATAAAAAATTTAAAATAGTTGTCTTTCTGTGCGTGTGACGATTTGATTTTTGTAAGGTGGTTTAACCATGTAATTAATATTTTACCATAATTGTGATTCCTGTCGGTTTTGGTCTTTGTAGAAGTCTTGTATTTTTTTGAGTATTTCGACCACAAATTTCGTTTTCACACAAGCAGTTTGAGAAGTCAACTATAACAAAGGAAATTTGCCCCCTTAGCTTTCTCTTCTTTAATAAATGTATTAATAAATTAGCACATGTAGCATGTCCCACATGATCATACAGTACATTGATTTCCTGGGACAAAAGAGCTACATTCAGATTTTTCTGTCTGAAATTTATCATCCAGCATAAAATCATTAGATAGTTATGTTAAAACATTAGATTTTGAGTTTCTCAAAATGTTAACCATCATCTCCAAAAATTGAATAGTTCGGGTCAATGTTGCTTTGTTCAAAACATAAACCGTGTCACTTGATTTCTTTTTGTTGCATCATCAAGATTTGCGATCTCAAAAATTTTACGGTTTTATCCGAAGGAGCTGATGGTCAAGATTATCTTGTGACTTATAAGAGTGACAAATTGTTTCATTTTTAATAAAATAATATAACATTCTTTCTCCATTTTAAAGGGAAACGTTTCTATGCTTATCCTATAGCATAGAAGTTCTATCCGCCTCCTACCATCCAGCCGTCCAATTTTGATCAAGAGAGCCACTCACCATTTAATCTTAGATCCGACGTTTCAAAGTATTTTATTTTTAATTTTTTTAATACAAATTTTATGAATATGAAATTTGGTACGTACCATCTTCTCATTGGGCCGCACCTATAAAAAAATATTAAAAATATTTTTTTGATAAAATATAATGATCAAAGTATCCCTTAAAACTTTTAGAGGTATTTTGGTCATTTTATTTTATTAAAAATATTGTTTTTATATTTTTCGCTAGTGGAAGTTTAATAAAGGAATGGATGTCTAAAGCAGTTAATAGAAAAAAAAATAAAAAATAAAATAATATAGAGGCGTGATATTGTGATTGGGGCAATCTTAGCCATCCATTCAGAATGGATGGTTGGATAAGGGGAATGATAGAACTTCTACGTTGTTGGGGAAGCATGAAAAGCTCGCCCAATTTCAAATGAAAGAGAATTTTTTCTTATTGAGAATTAAAGATGTTCACATCCCCGGCCCGAGAGGTGGACCCCAAATAGCGTTAGCCCCGACAGCTCCAACCCGGCCATAAAATCAAGATGAGTGGGCTAGACGTGAAACAACTAGAGAGTAGAAAGGCCAGGGAGCGTATAATATACGAATCGGACGTGTCCAGGGGAGGGAATGGCTCGGCACTAAAAATAAGAGGGCTTAGGCTATGAAATGTTACCGACGGATGGGCTATGGCCGGGCCATCACGGTCTGGAGGTAGGCCAGCCGGGAGTTGAGGCAAGGCCGGCTCGATTCAATAAATCCCAAGCTTGGCCCTCCTTTTCTTCGTTCTTTTCCTTAATTTTTTTTTTGGTTGATTTTATTTAACCCAGCCTGGCCCTCATAGGGCTAGGGTCGGGCTTCGGCCTGGTTAGAACCAGGCTGGCTGACCACTATTTAACGACTAGGTCCGGGTAAGACTACAGTGGCCCGGCCCGTTGCCAACCCTAGGCATTTCCATGTCCTGGATCAAGTGGTGCCCGGCTGTATGGCAATCATATTTCTCCGGAGTCTTGCTCAGGGCTTCAATTTTCTACTTTTTTTATTTTTTATTTTTTTCTGGACTGTTTTTCCTGCTTTTCAACCACCTTTACATCTCACACGCTCTCTCACATCACATTCCAAAAAGTGGTCTCTTCTCTCCTTTCAAGCGACATAGCGGATGAGAGAGAAGGAAGAAGGAGCGCCTCCACCGATGGCCGGCCGATTTATATGAGCAGTTATCTTCAATGGACGGGCCCTGTCTCTTTGTCCTCCTCCTCCTCACTGCAACAGCACTTGCAGGTAAGTGAAAGGGCCCCAAAAGCTTTTCTCTTCCATTCATCACTTTTCACCTGAATACTTTTCTTCTCAGTTTGAAAAGAGGAAAACCAGAGGTTCAGACTTCAGATTTTTCTTCTGTAAATCACTCTCCATCTCCCATTCCCTATGATGTAAGTGAAAATGTTGGGTTTCTTTCACTGTTATGCGAGAGGAAGATTAAGAATGAGATTCCCTCCCAATTTTTTCTCTTTTTTTTGTTTTTGTTTTTTGTTGGTAGCGATTGAGCTTCTGGAGTCCCCTTCTCCATATTCCAGAATATTAGGGTTTTCTGTTAGATATGAGTGAAGATTGAGCTCCTCTGAACCCACCGTCGTCTGTCTCAGAGATGGGTTTTTTCGCTTCTTCGATTGGAAAGTATAAGCTCGCTGTCCTCTTGGATTTATGCCAGTTTCTATTGTGAAGCTAAACAAAAGATTGAGCTTCTGTCTCTCTCCATTTTGCTCCCCTCCCCTCCCCTCCCAATTTTGATTTTCATTTACAACAATGGTACCAGGGCTAAGCGCGATGCTTTCGTAAACTGATTCCACAGATGGAGCGCAAACAGGTGGAGGCAAAGGAGAAGCTGCTTTTGTGGGGGTGAACATAGGCACAGACGTCTCCGATGTCCTCTCCCCCTCCGACCTCGTCTCCCTTCTGCAGCGCCAGAAGATCACCCAAGTCCGCCTCTACGATGTGGACAAGGACATCCTCAAGGCCCTAGCCCGCACCAGCATCCAGGTCATGGTTGGAGTCCCTAACAACCAACTGCTCGCCATTGCTCAATCCAATGCCACTGCGGCAGCCTGGGTCCAACGCAATGTTGCTGCCCACCTCCCGGACACTGACATCATTGCAATAGCCGTGGGCGATGAGGTCCTCACCTCCCTCCCCTCTGCTGCCCCTCTCCTCCTCCCTGCCATAAAATCCATCCACTCGGCTCTAGTCTCTGCCGCTCTGGACTCCAAAGTTTATGTGTCCACCCCCCACTCGGCCGACATTATCGTCGATCCATTTCCCCCCTCTCAAGCTTTCTTCAACCAGTCTTTCAACTCTGTCCTCTTGCCTCTGTTACAGTTTCTCCGCCAAACTGGGGCTCCACTTATGATGAATCTATACCCTTACTATGTGTTTATGCAGAATAAGGGGGTTGTTCCCATTGATAATGCTCTGTTCAGGCCGCTGACCCCTGCGAAAGAGGAAGTTGACCCGAACACATTGCTGCATTACTTGAATGTGTATGATGCCATGATCGATGCGGCTTATTTCTCAATGGAAAACGTTAATGTCACTGATGTTGTGGTCATGGTAACTGAGTCTGGGTGGCCGGGAAAGGGGGACTCAGAGGAACCTTATGCTACCATCGACAATGCCGATACATATAATTCGAACCTGATCAAGCATGTTTTGGACCGGAGTGGCACGCCCAAACATCCGGAAATCACATCGAGTGTTTATATCTACGAGCTTTTCAATGAGGATTTGAGGCCTCTCCCTGTTTCTGAGATGAATTGGGGCTTGTTTTATGGGAATGGAACACCTGTTTATTTGCTTCATGTTTCGGGGACAGGGGTGTTTATGGCGAATGATACAACAAACCGAACTTTTTGTGTAGCGGTAGAAGATGCGGACAAGAAGATGTTGCAGGCGGCGTTGGACTGGGCCTGCGGGCCTGGGCACACGAATTGCACTGAGATACAGCCTGGAGAGGTTTGCTATGACCCCAACAATGTGAAGAGCCATGCTTCATATGCATTTGATAGCTATTATCAGAAAGAAGGGAAGGTGGGAGGGTCCTGTGATTTCAACGGGGTTGCCACCGTCACAACCACTGATCCGAGTATGCCCCTGTTTTACTCTCCCTCAGTCCTCTCTCCCCATCTCTCTTTGTGTCTAATTTTTAACATGGAGACAGACCATGAATATGAAAAAAAATGAAAAAATACTTTGAAAATTAAAAAATATAATTATCTTAAAAAAATATTTGGACTGTTAGTTAAAATTGTTTTTAGAACGCATATTGTACAAATGCAGTCCATCCCTCATAAAACAATTATTCTTAAGTTTTTCCCATACTTTCTCTGTATATATATCTGTTTTCCTCACTTTTTGCATGTTTGTGCCCCTTTTTCCCTTATTCAAAGATTGTGTCCCTCTTTCTATAAATATATAATCATTTTTGGAGTTTAAAACTTTATAATTAGATATGAAAATAGATTTTAAAATAATTTTAATAATTTTTTATAC